TTTTATTATAATGTAGGGATATTGTCTGTTACAATTATAATATTGTTATTACAGTAATTGCATTTGAGGTTGCGTATATGTATTAAAAAGGCTTTTCGTTTGTTGTAGTACAAAAGATTTAATAATCATTTCTATTTGAAATATTACCAGATTTTAAAAACATGCATCTCAGGGGAAAAAAAAAGTTGTCATTGAGAGCGTGTTTAGTTTGACCGCTATTTTTCGACATTTTTTAAATCTAAATAAAATTGAAATAAATTCCACATACTAAAGAAAGCAAAAATTTGGTATTAAAATTCACTAGAGAAAATATTGATATTAACAACAATCAAAAAATAGCCAATACTTTAATAATTTTTATATCAGCAACTATTAAATTTCAGACAAAAAAAAATGTAGATTTTGCCTTTCAATGTGAATTTTTGTACTAAAGAACTAAAAACTAACTTTCTTTGATTATTGTACATGCTAAACTGGATTTTATGTTCATCTTTGGTTTCGTTTGACTTGTACAAAAGTTTTCTAGGCAGCTATTGATTTTTTACTACTAACGTACTAATGATTGATTTTGACCTTTGGGTCAAAGGTCATGGTCATCCAAAAAAAAAAAACACTTATAGAGTTGAACTTTACATTTGAAGCTCAATCTAGGTGAAGGTTTATCTTTTTAACCAAAAAGGTCAAAAAGGTCAAGGTCAAATTTGAAGGTCAAAGGTCAAGGTCATTTACAACATATAAGCAATTTTTTCAAATGACCTTTTTTGAAACGCTTCAAGGTACAAATATTACACACATTATATTTAATTGTAGCTGCAAAAATTTTTTAGGTCTCTCTGCATGAGAAACTCTAAGGGGCAATAACTACTAAAAATGGTTGACGAATCCTTTCGCAATGAAACCAAGAGTCTACTAAATTAGTCGTAGACATTATTTTTCGAACATCTGCGGTTTACGGTTTCAGGAGTATTAACAAGGGTTTACACTTTATTTTATGATTTCTTTATAAATGATATCTCTGTAATGGTTTTAAGAGTACATATTAACTGCAAAGATGTTTAAAATTTGTTGAAGAAATTTGCTACCAAAAAAAAAATTAATTTTTTCATATTTTGAACGACCTTGACCCTTGACCTTGACCTACTTTTCAAATCAATCACAAGATCTGTTGCAGTTGTTCCCAAATTGAAAGTTGTCATTTAAAAGTTTTAAAAAAATTTTTTATGCTTTAAAATATATGGGCAATAACTATCGAAGGAGTTTAGGAATTCTTTCGCACTTCCCAGTTTGGAAACCGACTAAATTAGTCGAAGACATAAGCAAGCGTACCTGAATGGTTTACGGTTTCGGAGGAGTAGCGATAACAAGCATTTCTTGCGAAAGGGGCAATAACTTCGCAAGGGGTCATAGTTCAATGCGTTGGGTCAAATCTGCGGTAAACAATGACCTTTATGATGAACTCCCTTCGAAAATGTCGAAACAAAAAATCAGCGGAAGAAAAATAATGGAATTTTATCATTTTGAAAAGAATATTTTAAAAAAAAATTCAATTGTGCATATGTACATGTACTTGCTTGTATGTTTCCGTTTCTCTTCCAATACATTTGATTTATCCATTTCTCTTTCTTATAATGATATAAGTATGTACAAACGTAAAGATCTCTTCAGATATTTGTTCTTTTTTTCGATTATCACCGTTGCTTTCAATTATTAATTCTTGTATATTAAATGATATATAACAAGGGATAATGTTTCTTTATAATTGAAAGTTTTATATTTTAGGTTGCGAAAACTTATTTCCAACCCTACAATACGATATAAATCATAGAAGAAGGCATAAAACATAGTCTCCAGAAAATTCAAGGATCCCGTGTTGACTGGTTTCAAGAGGCTTAAGCCCTTAGTATTGATCGGGTGTAAGGAACATTTCGCAGTCAATCTAGATCTCAGTTTTAAAAAAACAAATGCTTAATGATTGTCCGAAACAAGTCAACAAAAATACGACCCATAAATTAAATACATGTAGCTTATATTTGCTTACAGGGTCACAAAATAGAATTACAGAAAAAAAAACCAACTTTAAACGAGGTTGTGGAAATCCCTGTAACATCAACCTGTCTGTCAGTAGCCTGTATAGGTTTAAAAATTGATCATACTCGGAGCATGTTCTTAAATATGGCAGACTCTGATGTGTCTTTTTTTAAAATTCACAAGGATATATCGAATCAACATATGAATAAAAGTAAAATTATTGTTCATTGATAATACATCAACAATATATCTGAATGTAGAAACAAAGGCCATAGCGAGTGCTTTCCCCTAATACCATGTAGAATAACATGTAGAATTCAGAATTTTGAATAAATTCTACTTCATAGAAATATAAAAGCAGGCCAGTAGATAAAGGAACACAAATAATGCCCATTGGAATTCCAACAGTTTGTTTGCAGACTGGTCAGTGTACTTGTGTGTAGAATCAGAGTTATTTTATTTTAATAAGGACATGTATAAGCTGACATTAATAAGGTCAATAGTAACCACGAAATAATTAATTTTGCTCGCAAGATCAAAAGTCTGACGCATTTATATTTCTTAATTTTATTTTTTATTTTAAATTAATTTTTTTTATGTTTATGAATTTTTGATGCTGTTTTTGTTTGTTTTTGACAACTAAATTTTTATAGTATGTTTCATTTTTAATGATGACTAGTTACGGGAGTACTTCATTAGTGCCCGTATCTCGCTACATATACAAGTATATATATATTTTTAAATATTTTTTAAATACAAACTTTCAGAAAAGTTATCTAAATATAAGAAGCTTGAGAACGACGTAGGACAATTTTCACAAAGTAAAAGCGAGGACTAATTATCATATTATGTCTAGAAAACACCTTAAAAAAATCACAGGCATATATGTATGGCACTCCAAATTCACAAAAATTAGCTAATATAAGTTTCACAATTGATAAACTAGGTTTATCGACTGTAAACTATAGTTAACAAACCGCAAACTATAGTTATGGCACGCCAAATTCACAAAAATGAGCTAAACCTAGTTTCACAATTGATAAACTAGGTTTATCGACTGTAAACTATAGTTTACAAACTGTGAACTATAGTTAACAATTCAATAACTATAGTTTTCATCTGTAAAACTATATTTAACGGTTGTAAACTATAGTTTACGAATGCTAATCTAAGTTTATCTGTCTGTGATGAAACGTTAACAATAGATTTTGGTGATAAACATAGATTCACGTCTGTAAACTACAATTTACGATCGTTAACTATAGTAAAGAGTTGTAAACCATAGTTTACAAATCGTGAAACTGTATCTATCAGATAATCTATGTTTTGCAATCGCAAATGATCGTTTTCGGTGTTAAGTATAGTTTACGGTTGTGAAACATAGATTATCGCGTTAACTATCGTTTACAAATGTAAAATATAGATTAACGTTGTTAACTATAGTTAACAGTCCGTAAATTATAGTTTACAACCAATAAACCTAGTTTATCGACTGTGAAACTATGATTATCTCATTTTTGTGAATTTGGCGTGCTAAACCCAGTTTCACATTTGATAAACTAGGTTTATCGACTGTAAACTATAGTTTACAAATCGTGAACTATAGTTTACAATTCGTTAAGTATAGTTTTCATCTGTAAAACTATATTTAACGGTTGTAAACTATAGTTTACGAATGCTAATCTAAGTTTATCTGTCTGTAATAAAACGTTAACAATAGATTGTGTTGACAAACATAGATTCACGTCTGTAAACTATAATTTACGATCGTTAATTATAGTTAAGAGTTGTAAACCATAGTTTACAATCTTGAAACTGTAATTATCAGATAATTTATGTTTTGCAATCGCAAATGATTGTTTTCGGTGTTAAGTATAGTTTACGGTTGTGAAACATAGATTATCGCGTTAACTATAGTTTACAAATGTAAAATATAGATTAACGTTGTTAACTATAGTTTACAGTCAAACTATAGTAAACTATAGTTTACAAAACTATGATTATCTCATAATTTGGCACGCCAAATTCACAAAAATGAGCTAAACATAGTTTCACAGTTGATAAACTAGGTTTATCGGTTGTAAACTATATTTTACGGACTGTAAACTATAGTTAAAAACGTTAATCTATATTTTACATCCGTAAACCATAGTTAACGCGATAATCTATGTTTCACAACCGTAAACTATATCTTCTGTAATAAACTTAACAATAGATTTTGTTGAAACAATCATTTGCGATTGCAAAACATAGTTATTATAGTTTCACAAATCGTGAAAATATACAGTTTCACTATAGAACGGTTTGTAAACTATAGTTTACAAACCGTTAACTATAGTTAGCGATAATCTGTTTTGCATAAATGATAGTTTTCACGATTTGTGAAACTATGATTAACAACTCTTAACTATAGTTTACAGATTAAAATATAACTATAGTTTACAAAACTATAGTTTATAACCAATAAACCTAGTTTATCAACAAAATCTATTGTTAACGCTTATATAGTACAGAAGTATAGTTTTCAGATAATTTAACGGTTGTTAACTATAGATTATCAAGTTTATCTGTAATAAACGTTAACAATAGATTTTGTTGATACATAGATTCACGTTAAATATAATTTTATCGTTAATGATAGAAAAAACTAGTTTACAATCTTGAACTGTATTTATCAGTTAGTTTTGCATAGTTTACGGTTTGTAAACTATAGTTTACAGTTGTGAAACATAAACCTAGTTTAACAAATGTAAAACTAGGTTTATCCGATTTTTGTGAATTTGGCGTGCCATAGATACACCTAGTTTATCGACTGTGAAACTATGTTTTGCTCATTTTTGTGAATTTGGCGTGCCATATATATGGGCAAATCCCACTCCTTGCACCATCATATGATGACTAATTGTCTATTTTTATATAATCACATAGAATACAAAACAGTTTAATGCGTGCATTTTGTGTATTACTGATGAGAAGTATGAGAGTATTTAAGGAAGAGCCGTATTAATTAGTTAGAAGAATAATAACCGTAGGAGAGAGAGGGAAAAAAAGGAATGGTAAGGTGGAATTTTCTTCATTACTATAATATTGAATTATAATTGATTTTATTGAATTCTTTTTTATCTTTAAATTTTTTGTTTTAAAATTAAAATCTTATTTTGTTTTACATGTTTTAATTCCAAGAAAAAATCTCTCCGATATGGCATTTTATTGACTGTATTAATTAAAAGTGTGCAAAATGCGAGGGTTTATAATACGTTTTCTTTATTTTTGGCAAACGTTAATTTCTTTCTGTCGTTTTAGAATAAACGAGTGCTTGCCTTGTTACTAGCACTAGCTGTTCTTATAGACCATGTGCAGGAGTCGGAGGCAGGGTGGTTTCGCAAACAGGTGGAAAAGGTGAAAAATTTCGGAAAGGGTGTTGCGAACACTGCTAAAAATGTTGGAAGAATCGTCAAAGACGGTGCAAGAACTGTAAAAGAAAGTGTGAAAAATACAGCCAAGAAAGTGAAAGAAAAAATCGGATGAAGATCAGGGAAGACAACCGTAGCAAAAACCTCGTCAGAACCAGAGCAGCAGAAAGATATTTTATTTGAAGAAAGAATGTGAAGAAAAATTATCAGTATTAAAATTCTAAACTCTTTTATCTGAATATGATCTGTTTGACTTCTGCATTTAAAGGTGTTTCCCGTATGCCATTGTGATTTTAGTCAACTTTAGCTGAACAGTTAGGATACGATATTTAATAAAAACTCGTATATTCTTCCAATGAATGATTTATTATTCTGGTTATAAAAGTCTATGGTATTGCTGACTTATGAAGTACAAAAGTTACTCTTAGAGAAATGATGACATACACTTTAACATATAATACGCTGATGAGAAACCGTATAGCTCTTCAGGAAGTTTCTGTTTCCGTGTTTTTTTGATAAATCAATGACCTACATAAAGCATCGTTTGAGATAACTCATGCCCCTTTAGGGCTTGAGCAACAAAATCTTATTTTCGGGAATTCTTTTACATTTGTTTTCCAGTGACCAAATCATCTCTTGGTATAGGACTGGGATGGTCTTTTAGATGTACATACTGATACTGTTAGTTTTTCCCAACTTACTCCAGTACTCACAGAAGCCTTTTTACATGTATAAGATATATTAAAGAGATAATTAATAGCATTCAAGTTCAGAAGTCTTTTCGAATAATAAAAATCAGGAGTAGAGCAAACTTTTAAAAAAAAATCATAATAGATAAGGTGCCCTGGAGGAGTAAACATTCCCATCCGTCTACTCCTTATCATAATTGGGAAATGCCCGGTGTGTAAATAATGGTCTAACATTACAATTAGTATGAAAAACATCTATCAGTATTTGATGATAGAGTGTGTATGTACAATGTACTTCATGTAATATTTACTGACAAAGTCAACTCATTGTTTCAAACATTACGAAATGAAGACTTTTAATTAGATTGTTGATATTTTTTTCACCAACTTGTCTGTCAATCAATAACCAATAACTTTGTTTCAAAATTGTTCATACATAAATTGTGTGAAATAATTTCTGGCTGAATTACCTGGAAATTTCAGCGTGTAAATATTTGCCAAACGATAAGTATTAAGACGCCAATCAGCATTTGACCTAAAGCTAGATAATATTTTCAAATTCGTTGTATCGACCACAGACCTTGCAAAAGGATGAACTCAAATACGGTGGAAATACTGTTAATGTCCTTGTTTCATCAATTTGTTGGTTAATAGCTTGTCTCTCTTTTTTTTTTTTTAAATTTTGATCGTTCGTAGAGCATGCTTTTGCGCAAATAAACCGGGAGATATAAATCCCATATGCACGTGATAAGGCTATATTGCTTCGTACGTAAGGAAAATTAACGATAGAAAAGTTGAAGTCAATACGCTGAAGTTTCAAATTCACTGGATTATATCAAATCGATATACATATGTATGAATGTATATAACTATAGATAATAAATATATACATTTTTTACTGTGATAACTTTTTGAAATTTAATGAAAGTGATTGGTTGATTGATTGTATATTGTTTAACGTCCCTCTCGAGAATTTTTCACTCATATGGAGACGTCACCGTATGCCGGTGAAGGGCTTCAAATTTTGACCTTTACTCGGCACTTAGGGCCATTGAGCAGTGAGAGATCTTTATCGTGCCAACGCCTGCCGCTGACACGGGGCCTCGGTTTTTAAAGTCTCATCCGAAGGACCCGCAACTTTCACTTCAAAGTGCCGAGCGCATGGCAAAGGAACAGTTGCTACCCATTTTAACGACTAGGTCAGTCGCGGCCGAGATACGAACTCACGACCTCCCGATCACGGAGCGAGCTCTGTACCGACTGAGCTACCGTTAACGGTTTAATGAAAGTGAGTTGATTTCTTAATAATTACAACTGAATATAAATTTTGGAAATTATCCCATATTTTCAACTATCATTGATGCCCTAGCATTGATGTACCTCACAAACTAGACGGTGATTCCTAGATAATGCGTCGTCGAGAATTTTGTATGATTAGTTGAAGATAAAAACAAGTCTTTCCTTCTTCTCATATTTCATGCTTCATATTGATATAAGACTATGTCTTATTAAACGGGACACAATTGGTACACATGTGGATTCCGAAAAATTGTTGAAAGATCTTATACTAGTATCCAACACCAAGTAGTTATTGACAACCAGAAACTCAAAGATCTTTTTAATATAAAACTTAAGAGTATTTTGTGTACAATCAGAATATTTTCTAACAAAATAATTTTTCAAATGACCAATGACAAGGTAAATATATTTAAAAAGCAGTTTAAAAAGTTGTCTATGATTTAAAAAAAACCTTTGACATTAAATGGAAATAAAATTAAAACATATAGGTAGGTTTTCATTTGTCATACCGGCGTACGCCGAATGCGCCGCTTGACCTAAAATAACCCGGCTTGCTACTACATTTTACCGGGGAAAGTCAGGCGTACGCCGAATGCGCCGGTCTGAAATGACCGGCGAGGAAATCGCCGGTCTTAAAGATATGGCGGGAAAAGAAAACAACTGTGAAAATGCAGATACTTTTTATCAAATCGACATGTTCTTTATTTGTTTGCATATTTTGAGCAAATTTCTATTCATATATTTAAAATATGTTTTTATTTTCTGAAAAATAAAATTTTTCATGAGGTCCGTGTTTTTTTTAATTGAATTTCGAATTATTATACTAAGACAATAATGTAAAAAGTTATAAAACTTAATTAATTGATTATCATTTAGCGTAATTATTCATTTTTTAGAAATGTTTTCGCCGGTTTACTTTGCCTCTTAGACAATGGAATACGCCGATCAGTGACAAATGAAACTGGCCCATAAACAAATGTAGTTTTCTGATCAAGATAAATAAAATATTGCTTACTTTTTAGCAGTCAGTCGAGTTTAATTCTTATCTGCATGCATTTGAATAGTTCATAACTACTTGAAAACAAGACGAGTTTGTGAAACACTGATGTCCCTGTATGGCAGGTTATAAATTATGGTAAAGGTGGGAATTTCTCAAATGCAAGTCATACTTGGTTTAAGGTCAAAAGGTCAAAATTGATGGTATCCAAAGAAAGGTCTTTGTGACAAGGAATACATCTGTGAAAAATAAAAATGTTGGTGCTTACTGTTCAAAAGTTTTCTCCAAGGTTAAAGTTTTAAAAATGGGCCAAACTCTAAGGTCAAAAATGTCAAAGTCGGTGGTATCCAAAGAAAGGTCTTGTAAAAAGAGATATACCTGTGAAATCCAAAGCAGTCTCCAAAGTTATGGGCAAGGTTTTTATGCGCACAAACAAACAAACAGATAAACAGACAAACAAACAGACGGAGGGACATACTATAATAAACCCCCGAATCTTCGAAGTTTTCTAGAAGTTGTTTTGACGGAGATATCGAATATACCAGTATGACTAGTCATCATGTCTTTTGTGCTTTCACTTAATTTCATATAGAGCACAAACTCTGCTCCAAAATATGAAATTTCATAATAAAAGATCTGTTTTTGAAGATCAAAAAACATGTTTTAATTTTTGGGCTGTGCTCCTTTTAATTCCTTGTGAAGGTAGTCAAATGCGCATGTTTTCTGCCAAATTCAAGAACATTGCATTTTCTCAAAGCCTGTTTTCCAATACCTGGATTCTCAAACAGAAATTTATTATACGATATGAAAGCACTAAGTCTCTACTTTATTTTGATATATGAAATGGGAAAGAGGGTGATAGTCAAATAATTAATATAAGTACAGGACCATTCTATGCACAAAGTGAACCTAGCTCTTTATGGAGATAAGAGTTTATTTTGATATGATTGACCTGTTAATCGGTCGGAACATCTCATTGTTAACTGATCAATAATGGACAGCTATCCCACAGGTACTTGGGTCGTGGTTTATAAATATGTATGATGTACCTTATTGTAATGAGTAATGAAAAAGGCCTATGCCATTCAAACGTTGGTGGGACCTGGAATAATGGAACAGTCCAGGAGCTTGTTCACCCCTGTTTGAATGGTATAGCCCTTTGCTATATAAATGGCTGAAGAGGCAGTCTCGATCATTCTGAAACCCGTAGAAGAAGTGGGAAGTTAAAAAGAAGATAAAAGGGAATATTAGAACAGAAGAATTAAAAGAGTGAAATAAAATTAAGGCTAGGGTACAGAGCGCCGGTAAATGGTAAGCCAAGAAATTGTGGTGAAGTGCAAGGTATAGTAATCCTGAATAAGGGTGAGGTACCGAGTGCTCATTACAATAGGAACTTGGTTTCGGAACCAGGTGCAGGGAGTCCATTCATACATGGTGCAGGTAGTACTTGGTAACAGAGAACCTCGGCTTTGGTATCCCGCTGTTTACAAAAAAAAATAATAATAATAAGGACAAGGATCCCATGAAAATAAATAATCATTGTTGTATATAATATTGATTCCCAGATTAATTATAGGTTCAGATAGAGCCATAGGAAACGTTCATTTATATTTATGTAATGTTAAGACCCTGTATCCCTGAAAACGGACCCTTAGGTTACACGTTACATTATTGATATGTGAAAAAAGTAACATCATACATATTTATAAACCACGACCCAAGTACCTGTGAGTTATCCCATATATAATACATTATCTGTTATGGAGTTGGATAAAGACTTTTTTTTTACCTTGAGGAAAATAGTTTTTCTCGAGTGCAAAGCACGAGTGATATTATCAAATTTTAAAAGCCCTTTCTCACGAATGAAATAAAGAATGTCTAGTTACAGATTATTTTTAATCGGAATTTTACGATTCTTTTCTGTCTCTCTCATTTTGTAACACATAGTCATGGTTTGTCAATATATTATTTTTAACCGAGCGGTTATGGGACTACATGGAACAGACATTGTTAGACTGAATATTGCAGACAGAGATATTGGCAGCGATTCGGATTGTCTTTTTCTATTTCAATTTGTGTCAGGGTGGCTTATATACCTATATCTTAGGTAGGATTTTTTTAATAACACAGTTTGTGAAGAGAAACAAAATCGGGAGATAAAATTGACCCTAAGATACTTTTTTTTTTAAATTTTTCATATTACAGTTGTATTATATAAATTTTTCAGTATGGAAATCATCAATTTAAATGCATC